TCCGCTTTATCCGCAACATTTTATTTATTTATAAAATCAGTAAGCTTATATTACTCAGGATGAAAATTCATTGTCAAAAATAAGATTAAAATATTTTAGACATACACTCCTAAGAAAGTTTAAGCACCTCCAAATTTTTCTAAAAATTTACGATCCCTAAACATTAAATGTTTTATTTTTTTCCTACATTAACAGTGGTCCTAAACATTAATAAATATAATGTTTCAGAATATTTTTTTATCGCTTTTAGAAAAATTTGGGTGTGCTTAAACTTTCTTAACAAAATCTAAGAAATTCACAGACAATTAATTTCTTCCAAAGCTTAAGTTTATTGCTATGTATTCCAGGCAGAATTTTCGTTGAAATTCTGTAGGAGTTTCTCTGTATATTTATACTCCTTTCTATTCCTTGCCAATTATTTCTCTTTAACTTGATAATTACTCCAAATACGAATCCCTTAACTGCTATTTTACCTTTCACTTGAAGCTTTTATACCTATAGATGATAAATTTTTGTATTAAATATGACTACAATCAAAAAGAGATTTATTATCCTAATCGTGGCAGTAATATTATTAATATTGTATATACCATTTAAAAAGTATATAAAGACTAATACACAATTAATATTTAATCAAATAAATAAACATTGCTTGGTCAGAACATCAAAATTTTTGAATGCCTTAAATAAACAAAAACTAGGGATTGTCATGATTCGAAACAATAAAACTAACATAACAGACTATGATGCAACAATAAAAAATATGCCAATTCACTTTAATGCCAATTCACACTTTTTAATTTTAATGTAGGCTACTCAAACTGGGTTAACCAACGTTAGAATCGGTGTTTTAGCCTAAAAACACGAAAACAAAACAGAATGTTAAATATCGGTAAAACGTAAACAGATATACTAAAATAGGCAAGGTTTATCAATTATGCTTTTCTCTTGATAATTTTTGAAATGCATTATGTTATGTCTAAAAATATGATTAATCAAGACAAGTGAGGGTAAGAAACCCCCATACTAAATACTTTTCGGAAAGATAAATCAAAATATAATAACGTAGTAAAAATGAAAATTTTGATAATATCAATTCATGATGAAATTTGAAAAATCAACGAATTATCCAGAGATAACAATTAACACAAAATTATATTATTTACTAACTGTTAAAATTTAAATCCAGAATATTTGGGGAGAACACTATAATGATCTTAAACCTGTTGGCTTACAAGCAGATTCTGCCGAAAAGAAATACTTCTTAAAGTTTAGAAATTCTACCTCAAATACAGAATGCAATGTAGTTACTTTAGGTACAGTGTGTAACAAAACTATGGCCCCCCTAAAATTTTTTAATTTCTTAATGTTCTAATGAATGACCAAATATTGAAAATGCAATTCCAATCTAGAATTAAAAAAAATTTTATAATAAAATTTTTTTCAAAAAAATTTTTTCGAACTTTTTATGAAAACAAATATACAATCTTTTCTAAAATCGTCAACTTTTTCACCTTGTTTTGGCAATAATTAATAAAAATATTTGCTTGTTTCTTGGAAAAAATCAAATTTTTCATGGTTTTAACATTGAAAATAGGCTTAATTATGTTATCACAAAAATTCCTTGGAACGAAGCAAGAAATTAGAAAAGTCCGATAACTTATCTCTACCTATGAGTTTTAAAGTTATCAAGCATTCGAATTTACGAAGTATATTTCAACAATATATTCTTTATTCTCCACAAATCCATTAATTTATTTAAAAGGAGTTGGACAAACTGTGGAAGCAGAATTGGAACTTAAACAAATTTATCCTCAATGCAAATTTTTAGCATTAGATCCAGTTTCTGAGGTTAATGAGGATTTGGTAGAAAGCAAACTTAATGGGACTTTCGTAAAAAAAGTGATTACTGCTGAAGATAGCTATACTGCATATGCTGGACCAGTTAGTATATGGAATAGTGAAGGCTAGAAAATTATATACTACAAATTTTTAAGTACCTATATCGAGATATATCGAACAATTAAATCTTAATTATTCTAGGAAAGAGCGTTTTGTCGAATCTCTCACTAACGTCACTCCAAAGGGCTGAATTGGGTAAATAACTAAAAATTATAACTTCCCTTATGTTCCCTATTTGGAATGTGTCGTGGAGGACTTTAGAGGGAGATTCGACTGCTTTATAATTATTTTTATCCTAGGAAAAAGTGAATTCAACCAATCATTCAGTGAACTATCAATCGGATTTTTTGATTTCTTTCTCTATTACAATGCTGAATCAGTAATTGACTTGCTTACTATTGATGTCGAAGGAAGTGAATTTCCTATTTTTCAACTCCTTGCAGGTTGAGTTTTGTAAATCTTATTATGATTAGTACTACTTGACGAAATGTTTCTAAGAAGCTGCTTCACAAGGGAGGGAGAAAAGAGGGAACTAAATAAAAGGAACAAATAGGAAATATGTAGTACTGTTATACAATGAAATAATTAAAATTTGCAGCCGCTGCAAAAATTAAAATTGCCGACTATAAATATAATAAATATGGATATACGTTTCAAAATCTGTTTCGGCACATCCCTGGTCTATAACCCTTTTAATTTTTCAGAACAATATGATCAACTTCCAGTAATTATTTGTCAAATAAATATAGAATTTCATCATGTTCATTATAATGCCAATTCTTTCTTAAGAAATCGCTTTTTTCGCAATTTTAATTCGTTTATTCGAAACGATCGTTTTGTGGTAATGAAATCGGATGTTCATGATGTAAATTATTATCCAGTGTTTTTTGTTAATTATGCCGACAAAATTTGCATAGAAAAATTTTTGTGCTAAATGGATCGAGATTTTTAGTTATTGTCGATGACGAAATTAAAGATTTATTATATTTTTGATATTTTTATATTTTTGTGAAATTTTATTTATATTTGTGTGGTGACTCAGTGAGTCACTTTCCCTTTTTGACAATATTTTTGTGTATTTTTTTCAATGTAATTTACATTGCATCATTTTTATTATTGTTATTTTTGCCTATAAAAAGTAGGCAGAAATTTCACTTTTCAATGTCCTTGTGATCATTCATTTCTTTATTTGCAGATAAAGAATTTAGTTGTGTTTGTATTTATTTGTTTAATTTATCTAGTTAATTATTCTGTGTGAATAATTAATCTGAGATATTTTTTCCCTATAATTATAATAAATAGGAAGGTAAAAATAAACTCCTAGAGGAAAGATAATTTTTTACAGTTATAAATTATGTCAATTTTCATTTAAATAAATTATTCAAATGTGCTGATACACAAGCAATATTTAGTAAGATCTATAAGGAGAAAAGGGGAACAAAAGTTACGCTCTGATAGATCATTTGATAAGGCAACTGTAAGCAGAGTCAAGCAAGATTGAGCGAGCATGGTTTGTTTCTTGCCAGGCGACTAAACTTAAGCTAAACTGTTACTGCAAAGATTTTATTTATGTTCATTAAAAATTGTGGAAGATTGGTCGGAGATGCTGAACTGACAGGAACTGAACATTTAAATCTAAAAGGATAGTAAAATTACAGAAATTGCATGTTTCCTTTTGAGAAAATATTAAATTGAAATACAAAGTTCAATTTATAAGTACATAGGGTAAATATCTAAAATAAAAGTACGATACAGAAATAAAATTTAAATAATATATTCTCGCTCAAGTCTCTTATATTTTCTAAAAATTGAGTCTTTTTTAAAAACTCAGGAGAAAATTTTGAGAATTTTGGAGGTCAAGAAGCCAGAATGTTCTCAAAAGGGAATTATATTTTAGAAAGTGGGTGTAAAAATAATTAAAAATTTAATAAAGTTTAAAAAATAAATTTTTAAAAATTATATATTTTATTAAAAATATTTATAATGATGAAATACATATAATACACAGAACAAATATTATTAAAATTTCATTTAAATTATTTATAATTTACAAAAATTCAAGTTTGTTGATTATTTCTAATATTATTTCTATTGTTTCCCTTATCACTTTTAATAAACAATGGCTGATTTGGTGACACTTTGTTCTTTGGAATTAATTTGGCAAATACTGATTTATATGCCTTTCTGTATTCTGAGCTATAAATTAAAAATTTTTTTTATAAATTTATGGTTATGGATGAAAATTAGAGTAGTTAATTATTAAGTATTTTACTTATTTAAAGCAAATTTTTTCCTTAATATATCCTTAAAATAAACGGCATAATTTGAGGATTAACTTGCTGGATAGATAATAAACCTTTAATAATAAACCCTTGGATGATTAATAAATAAAAATATTTTCCCTACTTGAAACTAATTAAAATTATGGCATTAATTCCAGCTGTAATTATGTAAATACAAGTTATAATGGGAACTGTCAAAGAAATAACATTGCCAGTAATTATAGAAAATTGTTGATCAGATTTTGGAATAAATAAGGTTATCAAAAAATTTGTAATTGTAGTTATCAAAACGTTTATATTATTTCTTGCTATCGAAGAAATTAACCATCCAAAAATAAGAATTAAAGAAATAATCAGAACAGAACGAAGAATCCGTAAAGAATTTTTTACAATTGCCTTTATATCTTGAAAATTGGATTTTAAGATTTAAATTTTAAAGAAATATGTATATACTGAATTTATTTTTAAAATAAGTAATTTGGTAAAAGAAATCTTTATACTTTTCTTAAGGTTATTTATACTCGTTCTTAAGGTTCAAAAATAGGATTGGACACTGACAAGTACCAACTGTTTCGGTTATCTTAAGCAATCTGAAAATATTAAAACCCCAGATTCGATTCCGATTTTTGACCTCAATAACAACATGGGCTTGCCTACCACCTTAATTGTATCATCAATTTGTTCTATAATTAAGACTGCAAGAAAATATGGAAATTTTTAACATTTTATAAATACCAAATTTGATAGAATATTTATTCAAAAAGAAATTGAGAAAAATATTTTGACAAATTGTAATTGGTTATTGTTTTTGAGAAATTATTTACCTTTCTCTGGACGATCATTATTCGGAGAAATTTGATTTTTTGGCTTAAAATATTTTTTCCCAAAGGAAGACCAAATAATTTTACAAAATATTATAAAATAATTGAAAAGAGAAAGTAAAATAATTATTTTGCTGTAATAATTACTTAATAAATCAGAATATAGTCCAGAATTGCAGTAAAGCAAACTGAAAAAATTAAGACAAGATATGATTTTAATTTATTATTATTTTACTTGTCAACAGGTGTATTTAACATTGTTGAAATATTAAATTGAAAATAAGAAATAATTCCACCAAAAAATAAACAAATTCCATAAATTATTATATATGAACGAAACATTGTGGAATCAGGAATTACATGCATTCTGGTAAAATAAATTTGTTAAAGTTAAAAAAGATAAGTGGGTTGCGGGTTGTTCCCATAAGTCGGTTGTTCTTTGACTGGGGGGAGGGTGAGTGCCACGGGGAAAAACTTTCGGGGAGGCAGCAAAAGATACTCTCAAATTTCTCGACTTTCGGAGACGGCGACAACCCTATTCATAATCCCATTAAATAATTTATGAAAAAACCTTAAAGGAAATAAAACAATCAACATTCTTTCAAGGGAAAGAAAGAAAATAGCCAAAAAAGAAGAATAAGACCCAATAGTTGATATTAAAGATATCCAAAAACATATTTTATAATTAATTGTTGTAATACCAAACAAGAAACAAATAAAATTAATAATAAATGGAGTTAGAGCAAATATTTGACAAAAAGAATCAAATGGAAGTAATAAATTGGACTGAAAATTTATTTAAAGATTAAATATGTTAAATAAATTATTTAAATGAGAATTATTTAGCTTTTCCATGTGCCAACGAGAATTTAAAAAATTCAAAGCCCCGTAAAAATCTCAACCTTACACTACTGATTCTAATTACCTTCTTCGATTTAATTAAAATTATTGCTTAATAAATTAGAAGCTTGATATAGACGGGAAAATTATGTTATTATTTTTCTAAATTTGTTATGTATATCATGAAATAGATGGGATTTTTATCAATTGTAAGGATGATTCACCTAGCAGCATTTAAAACGCTTAGGCGGGGGTTAAACGATCTAATAAGGAAAAAGAGAAAGCATTAGTCGATGCCCCGGTAGCTCAGAGGTAGAGCTCCTGCATATAGTGAGCGAAAGCGCCTAGCAACAACTAGCAGGTGGTCGCAGGTTCGAATCCTGCCCGGTGGCTAAACTTTTGCAAAAACTCTTTCTCAATCAAATATTGTACCCGAGCTATCTGGAACAGCTCCCTAAATTTTTCTGATATTCAACTAAAATAGTTTTTTAATTTGATAATTATTTAAATATTTTTTTTACTTTTAATTTTTTAAAAGAGACAAATATTAAACTCGTATTTAATAAAGTAGAAATAATTGCAAAAATGGCTGGAACAATAATATTAATAAATTTTGTACTCCAAATTCCTTTAATAAATGAATTTTGCAAAATGTTGTATTGGGGAGACTGAAATTTAGGAAAATTGAAATATATTAATTAATAAACTTACAGAAATTAAATTTAAATTAAATTTATATGTACATTCAGCAACAATTAGTTGGTGATTTATATTTATGAATAAAAAATCAAAAATTGTTTTATTATTTAAAGAATCTAATAAACTCAATTTATTGACTAAATTATTAACATCAAATTTTGAAGTTGTTGTTATATTTAAATAATTACAAATATCTCCATTTTGAAAATATGTTGACAATGAGGAAGATAAATTGTTATTTAAATTCATTTTATTTTTTTAGATATATTAAATTCTAAATTAATAGTATATTTGTTCTCTCTTATTTTTCCTTTCAAAAATAAAATTTTATCAGAAAAAGCCATTCTTAGGGGTGTAAAAATTTCCCACCTTAGTCGAGAATTGACACCGGGAGTCGTGATCTAGAGGCCAAAAACTCGTGAAGTTTTCCCGAGTCGGGAGAAGGGATCGGGATACCCGAGCATCACTAATATGTAGGCATAATCTTAAAGATTGCTCTCATTTTTTATCTCTAATTATTTAAATGAAACAATTATTAAGAAAATTGTTAATAAAACAGAAATAATTGTATGTATAATTAGCGTGACACAAATGTTTACATTTAAATTCTATTTTCCCACAATACGTAAAGCAAAAATGATTAGATTTATTTTAAATAAATTTTAATAAATTTTGACATGAATGTTAAATAGAATAAAAAGACTATATTCAATATAATAAGTTTTTAAATTGGTGAATGTTTTCCTTGAAATAGATGAACTAAAAAAAGTAGAAATTAAACCAATTAAGTCAATTATAAGGTATACTAGGTTTAAATTCGAAAATGAAATAATTAATTTTTTTGTAATTAATTAATGTTGAAGGTTTTGAGGTGTCATGGTGAATTGAGCTTATGTTGGAATGTCCTGCTTGAGAAAATAATAAAAATTAAACTCTTTTTCACACGATATGTAAAGTGCTTGAAATTTAATTGTAAAAAGTGCTTATAAACTTATGATATAAAACTTAATTAATTTAGGTGTTAGAAAATTGAATATAAATTTACCGAAACTTTTATGTTCGGATTTTTTTCAGTATGGTAGAAAAATTATAATTTAGTCTAAATATTTCGGGAAAATTTTCATTTTTATTTTAGAAATTGAGATGAACAACCATAAAACGTCGAATATTTTCTATTTTCGGGGATCATAAAAACAAAGGTCTTGCTTGATCCACAAATTTGATTTTTTTCCAAAATTTATCTCAGAGTTGAAAAGGAGTATTTATATAGATTTCTTTAACAAACTTACTTGAAATTAAATAAAAATTATTTTTTATTTATTAAATAAAATAAATTCAATAAATTATTTTATTTTACTATTTCCCCATTTTAAAACTTAATTTCCATATGACATTATGTCTGGCAATATTTAAAATTCGATGGATGTCTATACAAGAGTTGGGGATTTTTTAATTGTGTGACGTCTGTGCGCGTTTGCCCTCACATGTTTAAGGGCATCCTCAGACTTCTACAGCTTTTTATGCATTTTTATTAATAATCCGCAAATTATGAATTATGCATAATTTTCTATTAAGTGAACAGATGTTGAGGAATGTCGATAAACTATTAAATTAACTTATGTTAAGCTAAGACAAAATTTAATTTAGTTTGTTCGTAGTTCTGGTATAACGTTTCAGGTTGTAAAAATTGAATTTAGGACGAATTTTCAAAAAATTGTTGAGTCGTGCTTCATGTAAGCGTCACCCTATGCTAAGTCAAAGGCTTGAAACCCAGAGGGATTTTGAAAAGTTGAAGAATGAAACAAAACCTAAGCAGGTAATTTACCAATTTGTTACCTTAACTATGTTTCTTCTCATTTTTATTTTATAAAACTTGACGCAAAACAGTTTCAAATCCCCTATAAAATTATGAAAATATATTGTGACTGAGTCTTATAATACTTTTTTATATTATCATTAGAAATATTTCCATATCTTTTTAATTCATTCCCGATTACACAAAATTTATTTTGGATAATTTGCAATTTTGTCTAAACGCGGGAATCTTAAAACTAAAAAAGTTCGAGTCTGTCCCGACATTTTCTATATTTAACTTTATAATAAGCAACCTATCGGTTAAATATTGCTAATTAAAGGATATCTATTAGTATTTCACAAAGTATTACAAAAACTTTTTTATAAATTTCAATAAATAAATAAAGTTAAAAATTAAAATAAATATTTAAACAGAATTGCGGACAATTTTTTAAAAAAATTAAGAGGAAATATAGACGACTTGAATCAATTATTCAGTCAATTATTGAAAGACTATACATGTCGAGAGTTGCGTTAGCGTCGTAAATAAAATATAGCAGGCATTTTAAATTAATTTTTGTCTAAGTGAAAATTTTTCCTTTTAATTTTTTTAAATAAAATATATTTATTTAATTAAAAAATAATAAAAATTATAGGATTGCTAGTTTTATTTATTAATATTTAATATATTTTCCTTTTAAAATCCTCTTAAACTCGTAAGGATTGAGGAACGTATTAAGGAAAAAATTTAAAATAAATTCCAAAAAATATAGAGTGGGATAAAGAGCGCTATGTTGATTAGTAGAATAATTAGTAGACATTTTAAGTTTAAAAATAAATTTTAAAAACACTACTACATGTCCAATTTTTGACAGCAAGAGCTAAAATTTAACCATCTGTCACAATAAGGCAAATTCTCAAACTTTTTTGCTTAAAAGCATTAAAAGTCATCTATGGTGTTTAAATTTACTTATTTATAACACGTTCCGGTGGTCATTTGCACCCCCCCCCTTTCGTTTCAATCGATCTTTTGTTAAATATGTTAAAAATGGACAGTCTGTTATCAGATTATAGAATTCGAGAACTCATCAAGCTGTGTCGAAAAACCCCTAAATCAACCACCGGTCGTAACTTATGGCCGAGATATAAAGACAAGCGTCTCTCCGACCCTAATATGATTACTTTATGTCATAATTATGTCAGATCTTGAATTCGGTGTCATTCGTCACAACTCGATGAGTTCTATAATCATTTATCAGACTGACCGTTTTTAAAATATTTGACAAAAAAATTGACTGTATGCCAAATAAGTATCGTTTTTCCTTGATACGCAACATTGCTCGAAAAGTTGTGATTAAAAAAAATAACTTATCAACATATTTAGATGAGTTGTCCGAATATTGCGGATTTTATTTAAAAAACGCAAGTTGCATATTTATGCTACATTAAAGTTTTTTTATTTAAATTATTAATTAATTTAGAGCATTATTATTTATTAAAAATGTGTGATATTAAATATTTGAAATTTTTGATATTATCACAGCTTGTAATTGTTATTTTCGAGATTAAACATGTGAATTCTGTTAAAGGCAATAAATTTAATTATTTCTTCAATAAATAAATAAATTTCAGATTCAACTCATTTTTTAAAGCTAACAGGGTCTAAACCAAATGCTCACATTCCGATCAGTAAAACAAATTTTAAAAAAGGCATGATTTTTAATAAATATGCTGTTTATTTACCAGTGGATTTCTATAAGATAACATTGAGGCTCAGAAAATATATAGTGTAAAACCTAAAATATTACGTAGATACTATGTCCGACCGAAGTTAAAAAAATATTCTTAATTGGGATGTATTTATTGTATCTAATTGTTAAGTACTTAAGTCTGACCTCGATTTTGGTATCTAAATAAAAAAGTTTAAATGAGAGTTCAGCTTTAGAAAAATAATCCAGTAAGAATTGCTTAAACATCGGACTGATTCGAAATAGCATTTCCATATTAAAAATGAATGAAAATTTAAAGCTTTAAATAAATATATGCATATAAAATAATTTTTCTATCAGGAAATTTGGAACAACAAAAAATTGGATATATTAATTTATATCCAGCTGAGCAGAAGGGACCTTTTCGGATCTATAATGGCAACACTCAAGCTGAGCCGGAAGGGCCTTTTCAAATTTATAATGGTGGCAACACAAATTGTAAGTCTCAATAGTTTAATTTATTAATTGAATACTATTATTTAAGTGCCTCTTTTCAAACAACCGGGCGTTTATGTCCAAAAGAGAGGATATAAAGCTTTAGTTCATCCGCCTGT